ATATATATATATATATATATAGTAATAATTATTTATGCATGGCGGCCTCTATAGATGGATGGAATAGTTGTTATGGACGGTCGATCGGGACCACATATATATAATATTAGAATTAAACATAAAATTGTGAACGTAAACGTATAAAGTATGAAAATAAATGCATTATTGTATGTATATAGACAGACACCTCTCTCCTTCCATTCATTACAACAAACAAACAAAGAAAAGTTCAAAATAGCGAAAATGTTTAGTTTTTTAGATAACGATAATAGAGGTGTTATACTGGAAAGAGCTCATTGTATTGCTTCTTTATGGCAAAAAAAGACTTATCATCGTTTGAAACTTCATGCTTGTGATTATTTTAAGTCGTCTCGTCGTAAAATCCGTGTTGTTGACATTGGTTCTTTGGAGAAAATCAGATCTGGGAAAGTTGAGGTTGTTCCTGGAATATTCAACAAGTTTTCATGTGCTACTAGTACTGGCTTACGCTCTGACCCGAGTAGCATGGGGCACGTGGAATCCCGTGTGAATCAGCAAGGACCACGCAATGTTCCGTATTGGCCAAAGGTGAGAAAATGATGTATTTCAAACTTGTGTAATGCAAGATTGTGTTAATAGTATCCTTATGTTTTACAGGAAAGTAAATTTTTGTGCAAGAATGATTACCCAAAAGCACAATTTCCTAACAATGGAAAATGTAGAGTTGGATTCGAAAAGAGAAGTCTGGCTCGTGCTTCTGCATTCATTAGGAAAGGACAAAACTCTGCTCATACAATTTCTTTTAAATATTAGAGGAAACTATTTCCAAAACGGTCAAAATTAGACTTAAGACTGTGGATTGTATGTTCATTAGATATGCTACATGGAACACTTTGAAAATTCAAGACTCATTGTAAAGCCTAACATAGGTCTCATAAAGTCTAAACACCGTTTCTAACTCTATTTTAAGTGAATATAGGTCATTTAAGAGATTTAAGAACCAAATCTCCAAAACGTCTGGGTACGACTCCCTAAGGACAAACCAAGGGCCCTTGAGGAGGAACCTGCAGTTTGATGCAACATTGCCTGACAGTGTGCATAGATGGGACAGACGAAGAGCCGTGTGTGGATCGACGGAGTGTCGATGCCACCGTCGTCCCAAACTTAGGCTGGTGGAGAAGGTTCCTTCACCTGCATAGTTTATGGAATTATCGACGGAGTGCGAAGGTGCAGGCTACGGTTTGTGTGTGGATCGACAAGGCTTCAATGCCACCGTCATCCAACACTTAGAAAATTGGAGAAATCCTCGTCTGCATCAGTCTCTAACCAAACTTACGAATGTGCAGCACGGACCGTCGGTGGACCAATGGTCAATCGATTGAGATCTCGTCGATGGGGTCTGCAAATTCGTGCATGTTTTAAATTAAGTTCATTTAATTAATTAAGTGGTTTAGGGGTTAGTTGGGGATTAAAGAGAGACTAATTAAGTTGATTAATTCCTACTATAAATACCCTCAACCGTCGTTAATCAAAACACAACTCTCAAATAAACCCTCTTTCTTCTCTCTTCTTTCTCTCTTCTAATTGGAAGACTCCATAGAAGCTTAGCTTGGAAGGTGAATTGGGGGTCGGAAAAAGGGTAGATTATTCATCAAATTGTTGAGAAACATTAAGGTATGTGTTCTATTCACCTTTGAGATCCTTTCCTCAAAGGGTTCCTTCAAAATAGATTTCAAAAAGTTGAATTTCCTTATGGGTTTCATTCAATTACGAAATTAAAGTTATGGATTGAGTTGTTAATGAATTTTTAGGGTTATATTGAGTAGATTAACATGTAATTCAACTTGTTTGTGGTAGTTGTTGATGGTTTGGTCTAAATTGAAGAATATGATCCTCTATCCTTAACCATCGGTAGTGATCTTGACCTATATTGTATTGTGGTCATTCAATTGAGTTGGTTGTTGATTTGATTACTATCCTATGGTGCTATTATGATTAAATTAAGATGAATTATAGACCTATCATGCTAGTTCTTGAGATGTGATTTATGTTATGAATTATAATGCAAAATTAGCCTATGTACCTTGTCTCAAGTTGTGATCTAAAGATGAATTGTGTTATAGAGATGCAATTGACCTTGTTATTTTGGTTACCATTGTGTGATGATGTTACTTTCCAAGTTGGGTGAAGTTATGGGTTGATGGTAAGACCTTGATGATAGACTATGAGGAAGACTTGGTAAGTCTTAGAATCTCTATCTTTACTTCCAATTATGATTAATTGTTGCTAAGTCATGATATTACATTTGGAGTATGCTTTATACCAGGATTATAGGGTGGTATGATGTTGAACCGAAATGTCTTGACTATGTTGTGAGGTTGATTAAGGTGTATGTGCAATAAGGATGGTGAAAACTATCAATGTGCCTAAATATGTTATAAAATACTAAAGTGTTAACCTCCCTTATATGAATTGTAATGAAAAGACTTATACTCATACAATTTTTATTAAGCTATTGATGATGGTGATTATATAAGGAGTAGAAGTTATGGCCTAAATTAAATAATGATTGATAATAAAGGCTTAAAGACATTCCATTAAATGGACTTAACTTAGCACCGAGTGAACTTGACAATGGGAGGTGATGGCTTTCCATAGAGGAAGTGTTATCTTGTAGGTCTATAAGTGATGTTGACTCCCCTTTGAAGGATACTCATCCAATGATTCCCATGAGGTGAGGCCCCAATTACTAAATGGTATGTACAGGGAATACCTATCTCTTCGTTCCTTAAACTATGTTGCCAACATATGATACTAGCTAGTGGATCCACCTAGAAAACTATGTTTATATTAGATTTTACCTTGGACGCTAGACCACCTTCCATCGGTGTAATATCTTATGACACCGGATTCCACATTTTACTCATGTGGTCTATGTCGGTTAAAGCAAGTGTTCCCTAAAATAAAATGAATGAATGAAGTATAGACTAACTAAAGTGACTTGAGGGTTTTGACTTAGCCTAGGTAGGGGTATGAGACTCTACCTATGCCTTGCACTATTTTCTTGATGGGAGCTTTGGAAAGTTAATATTATGTATACGGATGGTATTAAATGTAATTGTTTTTATATGATGATTATGATGTTTATGAACATGCAAATGGTCATAATGGTTTTAATTAATTAAAAGATGAATTTATGAATTTAAGAGATTATATTGTGTGAAGTATGATACTAATTATAGTTCTTGTTGGGAGACTTGATTAAGTAGGGTTATGGGGCTTTACTTGGTCATTGCACTTGTTGACTCTATGGGAATTTATGATTTGCTACCTTACTTTGCTTATGTGATTACTCTTATTCATGTATGTGATGATATTACTTTGTGATAGAGTATACGATATTATGGGTTCAAGCGTGTTGATATACATTTGACTTCCTTAACTATTGGTTGTGTATAAGTTCTTAAAGGAGTAAATTAAAATGATTTAACTAAAAGCTCCCTTTTTGCGTATTTTGCTTGTATATGGGCATAAGATCTCATACTTAGTACATGTAGAGTACTAACCTCATTTTTTTCTTTCCTTTTTTCCAAAACAGTTTAGGTTCAGATTGTTGAAGATTTTTGGGAGGCGTCATTGTTGAAGGCTTGGATTCTTGCTTTCATCCAAGGAGGGTAGGTCCTCAACTCTCGAGGACAGTGCCATAATGTAGCTTTGGATTTTGTTATGAGCTTATTGACTCTATCATTCCTTTTCTTGTTATTTGAATATTGTTCTTTTTTACGACCTATACATGGTCTTGTTGAATTGATGTAAGGGTTATGCCCAAATTGTGATATTCGTTTAGATGGTATGAGATGAGATTATCATTGAGACTTTATTCCATATTCTTATATATGTATGTGCAATAAAAGTAGAAGGCTATGTAACCTTATTATATGAAGGGTCTATGTATACTCGATATGAATATATAGTATGTGTATGTAGAGGTCTATGTAAACCTCCAAATAGTAATAATAAAAGTTTTAAATTTTTCCGAACTTTTCAACCAATGAATGTAATGACATGGAACTAAGAGTCTAGTCTTAGTCCTTTAAAAGGCCGCCGGAGGCGGTTACGTCTAGGGTGGTAAACTCGGACATGACAAACTTGGTATCAGAGCGTGAGGTTGAATATCGTTGAGATATCTCTCTCTCTACCACGTCTATGTAGGTTTGTATTCATAATTATGAAGCGCGCCTCACTTATGAGTAGGAACCTATATGATGCTTAGGAATCACTCTCTTTCTTGAAAATCTTATATCATGCCAATAGAGTATTCTTATGGTGTACTTTCTCATCTAATCCTATTGTTGTGATTATAGGAAGCATGAACACCTGAAGGAATGCGGCTCGAAGACTTGAGGAGGAAGTTGCCAATGCGAGAGCTCCTCCCCATGATGAGCAAGTTCCTCAATTTGAGGAGAATGCTAATGTTGATCAAGCCCTGGCTAACCCTCCACCAATGACGAAGGCGGAGATGAGGGATATTCTTGCTCAAATGGCTCAAGCCATGACTACTCAAGCACAAGCTGCGACGGTTCAAGCCCAAGCTATGACGCCCAAGGCAATCATGATATTACTCCCTGTTCTCATCAACAAGTCACAACTATGGGTTCCCGTCTAAGGGACTTCTCTCGAATGAATCCTCCTACTTTCTATGGGTCTAAGGTTGATGAAGACCCCCAAGAATTTATTGATGAGGTCTACAAGATACTATTTATTATGGGGGTGTCTTCAAGTGAGAAGGCCGAGTTGTCCACATATCAACTCAAGGATGTGGCTCAAACTTGGTATATGCAATGGAGGGATAATAGGCCTTTGAGGGGTGGTCCGGTAACTTTGGAGATTTTCAAGCGGTTTTTCTAGATTGGTTCTTCCCTAGAGATATGAGGGAAGAGAAAGTGGTAGAATTCATCATCCTCTGCCAAGGGGGTATGAGTGTTCATGATTACTCCTTGGATTTCATCCAACTGGCTAAATATGTTCCTTACTTGGTCTCCAATCCTAGAGACAAGATGAGCTGATTTGTGACGGGTGTACCAAATGAATTACAAGAAGAATGTCATTCGGTGATGTTACATGTCAATATGAACATTTCCCATCTTATGGTGCATGCTAGGAGGGTGAAGGAGACTAGAGCTAAGAGGAAAAATAGGGATTCAAAAAGGGCAAGGTCTTTTGAGGGTGAAGCTACAAAGAATAGGCTTGAGATTCAAGACAAACCTAAATTAAATAATAGATTCTCAAATCAAGTTCCATCCAAATTTCCTAAGGCTAGGGATGACAAGGCCCCTAGGCCGAAATTCAAAAAGGAAAATATTGGGAGTTCTTCTAATGAGAAACCTACTTGTGCCAAACGTGGAAAGGGTCATTTTGGTGAATGCTTGATAGGAAAGAGAATTTGCTTTGGTTGTGGAAAAAATGTCCACAAGGTGAGAGATTGTCCTAATTCTAAGGGGAAAGAGAAGATTGGACAGCCAAGTGGTTATAGTGATGCTCCAAATAAGAACCGCTTCTATGCTCTTCATTCTAAGGTGAGCAAGAGACCTCTCCCGACATGGTGACTGGTATGTTAAAAATCTTTACTCTTTATGTGTATTCTTTACTCTATCCGGGTGCTACTTTGTCCTTTGTTACACCTCTAGTAGCTAAAAAGTTAAATACTTTACCAGATATTTTGCATGAGCTTTCCTAGTGTCTACTCCGGTGGGAGAGTCAGTTGTTGCTAAAAGAGTCTACCGAAATTGTCCTATTTCATTGCCTATAGAGTTTCATATGTTGATCTAGTATTACTCGATATGCTTGATTTTGATATTATATTGGGTATGGATTGGTTGCATGCATGTTTTCCACCCATTGATTGTAGGACAAGAGTGGTGAGGTTTAACTTTCCAAATGAACTCGTTGTTGAGTGGAAGGGGAGGGGGGAATTCTATTCCTAGAGGTCGTATCATACCTTATCTAAAAGCATATAAAATGATCTCAAAGGGTTGTCTTTGTCACATAGTAAGAGTCCAAGATTTGGATTCCGAAATCCCTCCTATTGAGTCGCTCCCTGTAGTGAGTGAATTTCCGGAGGTTTTTCCTAATGACCTTCCTGGTATTACTCTCTAACGGGAAATTAATTTTGGTATCGACTTGCTACCAGAAACAATGTCATTTCAATCCCTCCATATTAGATGGCTCCGGCCGAATTGAAGGAGTTGAAGGCTCAACTCAAGGATTTGCTTGACAAAGGATTTATAAGGCCTAGTATATCTCAAAGGTTTCCTCCAATTACAAAATTGAAGTTATGGATTGATTGTTAATGAATTCTTAGGGTTATATTGAGTAGATTAACATGTAATTCAACTTTTTTGTGGTAATTGTTTATGGTTTGTTCTAAATTGAAGAATATGATCCTCTATCCCTAACCCTAGGTAGTGATCTTGACCTATATTGTACTGTAATCATTCAATTGAGTTGATTGTTGATTTGATTACTATCCTATGGTGCTATTATGATTAATTAAGATGAATTATAGGCCTATCATTCTAGTTCTTGAGATGTGATTTATGTTATGAATTATAATGTGAAATTAGCCCATGTACCTTGTCTCAAGTTGGTATCTAACGATGAATTGTGTTATAGAGATGCAATTGGCCTTGTTATTCTATTGGTTATCATTGTGTGATGATGTTACTCCCCAAGTTGGGTTGAGTTATGGGTTGATGGTAAGACCTTGATGATAGACTATGAAAAAAGGACTTTGTAAGTCTTATAATCTTTATCTTTACTTCCAATTGTGATTGATTGTTGTTAAGTCATGATATTACATTTGGAGTATGCCTTATACTAGGATTATAGGGTTGTGTGATGTTGAATTGAAATGTCTTGACTATGTTGTGAGGTTGATTAAGGTGTATGTGCTATAAGGATGATTTAAACTATCTATGTGCCTTAATATGTTATAAAATGCTAAGTTTTAACTTCCCTTATATGAATTGTGATGAAATGACTTATACTCATACAATTCTTATTAAGCTATTGATGATTGTGATTATATAAGGGGTAGACCCTATGTCCTATATAAAGTTATGATTATTAATTAAAGGCTTAAAGACATTTCAATAAAGGGACTTAGCTTAGCATCGAGTGAACTTGACAATGGGAGGTGATGGCTTTGCATAGAGGAAGTGTTACCCTATAGGTCTATAAGTGATGTTGACTCCCCTTTGAGGGATAATCATCCAATGATTCTCATGAGGTGAGGCCTCAATTACAAAATGGTATGTACAGAGAATACATATCTCTTAGTTCCTTAAACTATGTTTCCACCAAAGGATACTAGCTAGTGGATCCACCTAGAAAGCTATGTTTATATTAGGTTTTACCTTGGTCAGTAGACCACCTTCCATCGGTGTAAGGTCTTATGACATCGGATTCCACATTTAGCACATATGGTCTATCTCGGTTAAAGTGAGTGTTCCCTAAACTAAAATGAAAGAATGAAGTATAGATTAACTAAAGTGACTTGAGGGGTTTGACTTAGACTAGGTAGGGGTATGAGACTCTACCTATGCCTTGCACTAGTTTGCCTTGATGGGAGCTTTGGGAAGTTAGTATTGTGTATACATATGATGTTAAATGTAAATGTTTTTATATGACGATTATGATGCTTATGAACATGCAAATGGTCTTAATGGTTTTTATTACTAAATATATGAATTTATGAATTTAAGAGGTTATATTGTGAGAAGTATGATACTAATTATATTTCTTGTTGGGTCACTTGATTAAGGAGGGTTATGGGGATTTACTTAGTCATTGCACTTGTTGACTCTATGGGAATTTGTGATTTGTAACCTTACTTTGCTATTTATGTGATTACTTTTATTCATGTCTGTGATGATATTACTTGGTGATAGAGTATACGATATTATGGGTTCAAGCATGTTGATATACATTACTTCCTTAACTATTGGTTGTGCATAAGTTCTTAATAAAGTAAATTGGCTTGATTTAACTAAAATCTCCGTTTTTGCGTATTTTGCTTGTATATGTGCATAGGATCTCATACTTAGTACATGTGGAGTACTAAACCCATTTTTCTTTTCTTTTTCCCAAAACATTTTAGGTTCTGATTGTTGAAGAGTTTTGGGAGTCGTCATTTGTAAAGGTTTGGATTCTTTCTTTCATCCAAGTAGGGTAGGTCCTCAACTCTCGAGGGCAATGCCATCATCTAGATTTGGAATTTTTTTATTAGCTTATTGACTCTATCATTCCTTTCCTTGTTATTGGAATATTATTCTTTTGTACGACCTATACATGGTCTTGTTGAATTGATGTATGGGTTAACGCCCACATTGTGATATTCGTTTAGATGGTATGAGATGAGACAATCCTTGAGACTTTATTCCATATTCTTATATATGTATATCCAATAAAAGTAGAAGGCTATGTAACCTTCTTGTATGAAGGGTCTATGTATACTCGATATGAATATATAGTATGTGTATGTAGAGGTCTATGTAAACCTTCAAGTAGTAATAATAGAAGTTTTAAAAATTCCCGCATTTTTCAACCTATCAATGTAATGAAATGGAACTAAGAGGCTAGTCTTTATCCTTTAAAAGGAAGACGACACCGGTCATGTCTAGGGGAAAAACATGGATGTGACATTACAAATAGTAATGCATGTTAATTTATGGTTCATAAGTCTGAACTGTCGGATATTCAAGTGAAGGGTATAAATGACTTTGAAACGAACCAAAGGAGAATCCACTTAATAAATAAATTCAGGGATATAGTAAATGTGAATGGTCAAATTACATTGTTTGAGTTTGATTTTGTAGCATTTCTTCTTCAAAACGAGTCTCATAAATTCGAAGAAGCTATGCTCATTCTTTTTGGAAAGAGGC